CTGTTGCAGCGCCCGCACTCCCCAGCCTGGGGTGGATTCATCGTCACGGCGGGGGGAAACGCGCGATCGCCTTTGCACGCCGCAGTTTTTGTCTTCGCGGCGGCTCCAGAGAGAGAGAGGGGGCGCGGGGTGGATGCGGAGCGGGCGAGGGGAGGAGGGCGGAGAAGAGAGGAGAAAAAACGGATCCTAAAACGCACGCGACATTTATTGGGCGGAAACTAATTACACCTGTAACAATTCATTTGGATGAAACGTTTTGCAATTATGCTGAATGGAAATGCGGTGGCTGCGCGAGAAGATTTAGACGAAATGACATCCGCGATTCAAAGTAAAAAAAAAACACCCTGTTGACTTTAACCGTTGCACGGGCGTGCGTGTTGGTGACAGCCTCCCGCTTCATCCTCTCCCCCAACACACCCCCCTCTCGTTCAAATTCAACTTCGTTTGTTTAGCCAGGCGAGGTTGCATTGAAGTTCATCACCAATTTCACAACAGAGATCTACAGAAACTGCAGAATGCATACGGAGAGATACGTTTCTTGGCAGCTGCAGGTAATATTTGAATTTAGGATTTGAGTTGTGACATCAGCAAACAGCAGCATATGTACTCTTAAAAATTAGCTCTTTGGCGTTTGACACATCTCACTAAGCACACTTCGTTTAACCTGGGATCATCCACAAAGCCAGACATCGGCGGAGAACGGGGACGACACGAAGCCAGACGTGGCGGTGAGACGATCACAAAAGGCCCTGGACCTGAAGTTTTTCACTCTTCAACAGTTACGGGGTCTGGCAGAAAGAAATATTGATAACAGTGGCCTGAGCCACGATTAGCTCAATTTGTTGTAATTTTCCCGACAATTGTATATCAATCGTGATATCGGTGTTGCTGCACGACACGAAGTATCGATTCTGATCTATCTTGCAGAGCTGGACGAAAACAGCCCATGGAAGCTAATAATCACAGAGCTATGTCTTAGGTCCCTTTAAGTGAATTCTGCTCCACGTACAGGGTCAGCATGTTCCCACCTGCTCAGCATATGAAATGTTCATCCCATCTCAGAAAATAAATACAAAATATTCCCCATTGTCAACAACTTATGAATGCGTTAATGGTCTAATATGTATAAGAAACGTGGATAGTTTGGGATCTCTGCTGACGGTTGCGTTACACACACCTCAGGTTGACAACGCACTTCTGTTTTACAACACGGGGCCTTTTCTTCCAAAGCCATGGCGTGCGATGTAAATAATGCGACGAGAAATCTGAGCGCCATCTCCGTCCGTCCCCTTCGTGACATCGTCCCGTGAGTACGATGGTGGTGGGGAGATGTTACCTGCCTCGCCAGTATACAGCAGTTCGCGGATTCAATCCTTGGACCTGACGCCTGCTGTATATTTGGAGTTTGCGTGTCTCTCTCTCTCTCCGTGGTCGCGTGGATTTTTTTTCCGGGTCCCCTCCGTTTCTTCCCTCCACATTTTATGAGCGGGCGTTTATTATCTGCTATAGATGGCTGCTATAAATGTCCACATGATAAGCCACTCCCCGTTAAGCTATCTTTAATTTGTGACCGGGTCGCTTCTGAAAGAAGAGCTGTTTAGCTAAGTGGGCCTTAACTGGTCAAATACAAGTTTCGTTTAATTCCGCTCGTCTTGTTGGATGCAACGGCCCCAGTCCACTTCGCGATTTGGATGATGATGATGATAATTATGATGATTATTATGATAATGATGATAATTATGATGATGATGATAATGATGATAATTATGATAATAATGAAGGTGATAAGGATGATGGGGTTAATTTTTGCTTTGTTTTACCGTTTGATCGACGCTGAAGCGTCTTGTATTTACGGGCATGCTCTCTTATTGGAAGGTATTTCTTGAATAATGTATCGCGCTTATTCGATGATATAAAGAACACTTCACATCACCGCTCGTGCCACAACATGGACACTGGTAAAGGGGAGCTGTTTTTGCTCAGGCTGCAGACAGGGCAGTTTTATGTATTGAAAGCGTTTGTTTACGGAGGACAGCCTCAGTGAGTTTCAAGACTCTGCTTCAGGAGGGTCCTGTGCTGCTGCTATGTACCCAACTGATTATTGTATTTGTGGTGTCAGTGTTCGTTTTTGACTTGGCACATTTCTGGACCCTGACGGTGGCACGCGTGGTCTACTCATTTTCGAATAACTTCGCGGAATATTTGAACCTCCACTGTGAAGCGAGCGGCGGGGTCTTTTTTGATTGGTCACTGCAGAAGGATTCACACACGGCACGGAGACCCCCCCCCCCCCCCATGCCTGCCGTTGTGCCTTTGTATGCCCAGGTCATGACCCTTAGTCGAGGCTTTTACGGACTAAGACCCAACGGCAAAGCCCCATCCCGATAAGAGACAGACCCTCAACGGCGGTGACGGCGGATGAGCTACGATTCCAGAGAGCTAGCGGCTTGGCGTGGACGAGGCGTTTGAGAGGGACGATGGTGTGAGTCCTTAACAGCACCGCGGAGGAAGGCAACGGGAAAGCATCCTCTCCTGTGCCCGCCTCTGGTCTCCGTGACGTGAGGCGAGAAGGATGCCGCCACACAACAGCGATCGTCCCACCTCCAATGAGCACGGCTGGCTAGGTGCGGTGTGAAAGAAGTTCAACATGAATCGTACATCGGTCGTTGACGGACGCTCATTAGACATTGACCCTCAGTTACAAGGATGACATGAGGTAGAGAGATGGAAGGGGAAAAAAAGGGATTTCTTAAAAAGTTCTGGAATACCGTGGCATTTGCCACGCTCCTATGTTACAACTACTGGGCATTGAGCGCTGGGTCACATTAGGCTGGGATTAAAAGGAAACGCCGTTCCTACTCCAGTGTTGCTTGCAGGGACTGCCACGTTGGTTTCACTCCGGTGTACTGCAATCAATGATTTATTCTATTAACATTATAGATGTGAATTGCCCCTGTAGTATAGAGAGAGGGTTTATCCATGAATAGAGACCCCGCGAAATTAATATTGAGACTGAGACCGAAGGAAGCCCTCACGGTGGCTGGAGGAGAAGGATCGCGGAGGGAATGTCGCGAATGAGCTAATGGAACGCACGGAAGGGTGGCGCTGCAATCTATGGGAGCGGCAGGAAATCGAGAAGGCTGCCGTCTGATGGAACCGTCGCACGCCGCAGCCGCCGTCAATGTTCTCCGTCTGTCGACGACAAAACTCGCCGGCACCGCAAGTCTACCGCCAAGCCCCTACCGCCACCCCCACGACCACCGCAGGGGTTGGTTTGATCTCACTCCGCCGAACTATCGGTGGCACCGCTGTGCTTCGCGGATGCGACGGTGGTTTGGCAACGCGGGAACGCTGCTGCTGGCTCGCGTGAGCTGCTGCTGCTGGCTCGCGTGAGCTGCTGCTGCTGCTGCGGCTGCTGCTCTTGCTGAGCCACACTTGGCAGCGTGCCTTTCCTGTAGCTCGCCCAGCCGGAAGATGAGGCATTTACAGCGACGCAGACACCAACATCGTTCAAACCCAGCCAGGAATATTTGTGTGTCTACGCACAGCTCTTTAGACGACAGTCTCCCAGTGCCGTGTTGATCGTAAACCGTACTTGACCACGTTAGTCCGTTCAGGTAGGTGGGGGCCGGAGTGCCGAAGTACAGCACAACCTGCGGATTACATCGTGGCACAATCCAGAGCGGCCCACAGGTAGTCGCCCACGCAAACAGGTAGAGCACCTGCTGCTTAGCTTCCAAAAGGAATGTGATGAGATGCATAGAAAGTCTTTCAGATCACATGCGAGCAGGAGAATGGGGCTTTGGATGAAATGCCACGGGGCAAGGTTCATTCTTTTTGATACGGAACTAAAGTGGGGGCGAAGCTGAATATAAATGAGACGCGATGTTACTCCGGCATTATAACGCCGCACGTGTGCACGCGATGGGCCACCCTCGGGGTGAGGATGAATCTTTGAACCCTGAGCTCTAGGCTGCCACGTGTTTGGGTGAAACACACACAAAAACACCAACGCATCAATACCGCGGGAGGCGCCCGATCCCGTCACGCCTCGGAAGCTCAGCAGGTTTGATGCCTGGATATTACTTGGACGGGAGGCGACAGTACGCGCCACGGGTTGTTACAGGATGCAGGTGCTATGTGTCGGGCAGCAGAAGGCAGGGCAGCAATCCATTGCTGCATGAGGGCTCTCCCCATGCCTGTGTGTAGGTTTTTTTGACCATACTTCACCAAACTGGTCAGTGCAGGTTGCCGGGGTTATTTTTGTGGTGAGCGGTGGCGTAGCGGTTAGCGCTACAATGCGCAATGAGACCAGCGACCCGAGTGCGAATCCCGCTCACGGCCAACACCAGTGACGATTATCTGAACCGGTCCTGGGCTTCCCCTACGTCGACTCAGCCTAAAATGAGTACCTGGTGCAGTGTGTAAACATCGCCACTGCGGAGACAAAGGCGGCCGGGTATGGTGCTGGCCACCGACCACCTCGTTTGCCGTGCCAGCCTACATAGGTGCTCGCTCACGGACTTGCTCCTACAGTCTGTTAAACGTTATACGGGGGATCTTTGTCTTTGGTTATTTGACCATAATTCACCAAGCTGGTCAGAGCAGGTTGGACGAAGGCAGGCAGCAAATATGTGGGCGCCTACTAGTACAGTACAACGGTGGATATTGCTGGATGGTTCTCTGCTGCTCACAACGTAACTCTGCAGCCTGTATCGCCTTTGTGCGTGGGGGTCGCCCATTCGATGACTATCCAGACTCAACCCTTGCTTAGCGTCCTCGATCTGACGAGATGGGACGCATTTCCAGTGATTTGGCCATAAGGCATTTTTCAAAATATAAATACGTGTGTGTGTATATAAATATAAATAGATTGTCAAACGGTGCCAATAACAACTCCTAAAAAACACAAACCGCAGATTATCCACGACGCGCTGGCGAAATGAAACGCGCCGCCTCGACGCGTGGAGTGACCGCGTTCTCTGTGTGTGTATCTTCAGCAGCAGCAGCATCGGGAGGAGAGTTCACATCCGCCACGCTTCGCGATCGCTTTTACGGAGAACTTCTAAACAACAACAATAATCGATGTCGAAAATCCCCCGCGGAGTTGACCTTCGCGTGGGGCCCTCATCCCGAGCGAGCGAGCCGGCACCGTCACCCCACATCACGGCCTCGCCAAGAAGCTCGCCCCGACAGAGGTGAGACACCGCGAGAGGGAGCGGGGAGCAGGCGCGACCTTGCCGGGGGGCCGGTGCGCTCGACCTTCTCCGTCTCTCGCAGCCCTTGCCAGCTCCGTCAACTTTCTTAAACAAGCGCCGCTGCCGGTTCCGCCTCTGCCAAGAGTCAAGGTTTTGGCTGCTCGCCCATTAGGGAGTTTGGGGGCTTGAGCGCTGCCGCCGCTCCAGCCACACCGGCAAAAACAGCATCGCGCGCGTGCAAGCAGTCGATATTCGCCATCGATCGGCCCGCGCACCACACCGCGCGCCATTAAGCGCGGGCCTTTTGCCGAGGAAATAAAACACCTTAAGCCGAGCAATGGTCCGTGAGAAATCGGGCGAGATTTACGCTACGCTTGGTAAAGAATACAAAATGCCGCTGCCGCGAGGTCGCTGCGCGCGGCGGATGGCAGGGGTGCCCGCAGAACGAGTTCTCTAATCTGATGCTCAAACCCACCATGTGAGCCATTGCCCTCGTAACGACCAATAGACCACCGCCGCTAAGGAGTGAAGAGTTATCGCAGCGGCGGCAGCAGCTGGCGCCCGACGGATGCCGCGTGGCTTATCCCCGCAAGTCCTTTCTCGAAACAAGACACGTGAAAGGTGACACCTCCTGACCTGCGCCGCGCCCATTACGAGGATTTACGGTCATAATAAGTCGCGGGCTCCACGATCGATACGTCCAATTTGAGCGTGTCCGCTCTGAGCGGGCGTCAGCACCAGGGACAGCTCCCCCCCCTCCCTCCACCACCCCCACCCTCCACCACCCCCCTCCCACGGCCGAGAGATGGCTCGCGACGTCGGCCCGCGGCGCCCTGCGCGGAGACCCGAGAACCGCTCCATCGCCGCCCGGCGTTGACGGGCGGCCTCGGGGCGCGAGCCGCGCCAAACCGCGCCGATGGCCACGACGGCGCGCCGGGCCAAGGCGTTCGTGTGGGAGCAGCTGCCGCCCATGCCCACCAAGCGCGTGTACTGCACCCCCGCGGCGTGCGCCGGGCAGCTGTACGTCGCGGGCGGCTGCGACGCGTCGGGGGCGCCCCTCGACTGCCTGGAGGCGCTGGCGCCCGACGCGAGCCAGTGGACCAGGCTGGCGCCCATGCCCACGGCGCGCGCAGGCGTCGGGGTGGCGGCGCTGGGCAAGCAGCTGCTGGCGCTGGGCGGCGTGGACGGGCAGCAGAGGCCCGTGGCGGCCGTCGAGGCGTTCTGCACGGAGGAGCGGCGCTGGGAGAGGAAGGCCCCGCTGCCCGAGCCGATCATGGGCATGGCGGTCATCGTGAAAGGTGAAGTGGATTGTCTTGCGCGGATGCCCCGGGGTCTTCGTCTTCACTGTCGTTATCAGCCGCGGCAGCCATGCGCGATCTACTGCTGGATCAAGGCTCCCACCCCTCATGTTAGCGTGTCTCATTGTTCCTTCGTGTCAAGATTAATGTTGCTCCTGCGCAGGTGCTGATCGCATTGCTCCATTTCCATGGTGGCAACGGAGCAACGAGATCAACCTTTGTGTTCCACTCTGTCACCCGTATCATCCATTTGTCATCATCATATCTAGGAATATGGCCTTCCGAAGTCACATCATTTATCCTCACAGTCACCACGAACGCTTCAATTTCCGTTATTCTATGATCCACATGCTTCTTTTTAGTGCTGCCGGTGTAATTTCCCATCCTCAGTTGTGCAATGTTGAACTTTTGTTCCATATCCTTTGTCAGTGTCCATGTGTCCTATTTGTGCGCTATGTGGTGGTTAAGCACACTGGTGACATTGTTTTTCATCATAAAAGTCACTTCCCCGAAAGCCCAGGTGTTGATTTCGATATCCGCGTGGTCAAAGGCAACGTTCAGTAGGAAACGTGATGACTTAAGGCGACGATTTTGTCACGGAAATTTGTTTTTGGCAAATATCAGGATCAGAATATATCTGTACTGGTGGAATCTGATGAGCTATAAAGCTCTTTTTCACAGATGTCCAGTAGCGGCGGGTAAGAAGGTTACAACAGCAAACAATACAAAAACATGATAGTAGTGCAAAATACAAGAATGGTAAACAAATCACCCAAACACAAACAAATTAAACAAAACCATACCCATACTATCAGGCAAAGCCCACTGAAGTATTAGCTTATTTTTCAGAAGCGACCTGGCCACACATGATAGCTCAACAGAGTGACTTATTGTTTGGACATTTATAGCAGAAAATGTATCTAAATAATCTCAGTGATGGCAAAAACCGAATGACCCGGACAACAAAAAAATCCACGCGACCACGAGGCACGACACGCGGCGTTCTTGAAGCGCCGAAATCGAGCGCGGTCCCGACGGCAAATTTTTCTTCCTGGCGTCTCGCGGACTTTATTCCATTTCATAATTTCCGTGACCTCCGTGCCCAAAATGATTACTCAGCGCCAGGCACAACGCACGCCAGCGAGGAAGCTGCACGGGGGCAATGACCTCCATTATCACTGTCATCACGTCATCATCATCGTCGTCGGCGTCACCATCACTCCCCACAGTGCAGGTGATGTTTGTATAACCACCGTGGTGTTCCTAAATCACGGACAATATGTTCTTCGTATGCAGTAGATCCCATGCCCTCGGCCCCCACATGCAATGTGCTGATTGAGGCATTTGGCGAATATCCCAGTGCATAACCCTCCGGCAGGGGCTTTGAGGCGTTCCTGTGTAAACATGGGACATTATTAGTCTCAGAGCCATAACCACATCAACCCCGGGAATATGACCTCGTCAGATCTCCGAAGCTAAGCTGAGCTAGGATATTGCTTTGTTGGGTGACCACCATGCACAACCAGGTTTTAATAATACTCAATAAAAATAATAACTATTTCAACTTGTCACGCGGCTCCGCGCTGTATAGTCCTCTATATACAGGGTGCTTCAAAAATTATTAACACTTCTGAGAGTTTGCAACAATACAACACGAAACGTGCTGCCTCCGGGCTCTGGAGACCGCCTAGAGAAGATTCCAGGCACGCGGTGACAATGATGGTGAACAAGTGGAGACTCTTTGACTTTTTTAAGCTATTAACATTACATTTGTTATCATGTTAAAGTGTATTATGCGTTCTTTTTCATAAAAAAAATAGTCCCATATGAATGTTAAAACATTTTTATAGCACCCTGTATATATAAAGGCCATTTCGGCTGATGAGTGAGTGTTTACATTGGGTTTGTTATAGGGCTTGTGGAGCCGAGTGGTTTCCAGCAGAGGACAATTCAGTAAAATCCAATGTTGTATAGTACTATGCTGCAACATCTACGTTCCCCGCCTTCACCAACCGAAACCGACCAATGTGGTGAGGTATGGTCAAAGAAACCCGCATGACCCTTCATCCAGCAGTGGATTAACAAACGAGCGATAGATGTACATACGTCTCATGGTAGTCTTCATCATCATCAGCATCACAATGCCCTTGCGTTAGGTCCGCCACCGATGAGGAACATGCGACCCTCGCCGTCCACACGATTCAATGCGCCGCTCAGTTACTCACGAACTGAGCCATCTGAGTGTCGTAAAACCCCAGAACAAAATCTACAACAACAACAACACACAACAATGCCGCACTGTGCAAAGGTCCAAAGGCCAGCAACGGCACCTGGGCCGTGCGAATGCTACGCGACCGTCAAGAGGGCTGCTGCCACGATCGCCAAAGCCGCCGCCACCGCCGACTTTGGCGTCACGGACGCTGCCGGTGTTCGATCAATTGCGAAAATTTCCCACGGCGATTGTTTGCCGCTGCGTGCGCGCGTGCGTGCGCGTGCGTAATTGGGAGTCGACAATACCACGGCGCCTCTCCGCGCGGGACGCGAGCGCGCGCTCCTCTCGCGCTCCGTCAGCGTCAGGGCGCGGTGTCGTTCCCGTCGGTTCAATGACTCCTCGCGTGCAGCAGTCGCACGGCCGTCGCGGTCGGTCCGGGTAGCACATCGCTTGACGATGACGTCATTTTAGACGTTGGCGTCAATCACCCCGGATATGAGCACGCGCGAACTCATAAGTCTTGTTCGTGTGCGCTTCGTTTGTTGTCCTTCCCGCGCACCTGCGATTGGCACGGTCGGCTGCGTACGCTTGCACGCACACATATTGGCAGGGTCCAGCCTGGATCGTGCCTAGATGTGTGATCGTTGTGCGCACCAGGCGATGTAGGCTGTTGCACGGTTACGTTGTCAGCAGAGGACAACCAATTGTTGTACCGTCCTACGTTTCAATGTCTATGCTTCCCTCCTAAACTCGCTTTGATCAGCGTGGTGAAGAGTGGTCACATAGCCGCCCACGACTTGCTTAAGGAGGCCCTCATCCAGCAGCGGAATGTACGATAGTATTATTAGGGCGTCAGACAAGCGAACAGCGAGTACATAGGTGACCCAGCAGTGAGTGGAGATCAATATCACCTGCCCGAACGGTGAAGAATGGTCGCACAAAGCCCTCCAGTCGACACAGCGTCCGTGGAGGCATGCATGCAGCAGTGGAATAGGCAAGGGGCTGTCAATAAATATAATATAAAGCTGCATTGCATACACAATATATGCACGGCGGGAAGATAACTCACGTTTATTTTCGTAAGGCTGAAATTTGTGGGGCTGAGTTGCCTGATTTTAATCATTAAACTTCATGAGAAATAAGTAATACTGTTGACGGCTCATTGTCAATTTATCAAATAATATCTCATGCTTGATTTATAACGGAGTAGAAGCTCTCCAGTTTTATTTTACGAGATGACTCATGACAGATTTATCAGACCTCCTCTTGGCCGATGTGTCAGATGTGTGACGGCTGACTTATCAGATACACCACAGCCGATTAATCAAAAGAAATGGCAATCCGAGATGTATTTATCAACTTCTACCTCATAAAATTTTGATTTAAAGCTTTCGTGACTGCAGGGATTCATATTCTTGGTTCTTTCGGTAAAGTCACGTAGAAGGGAACCAATAAAATAATAAAATATAAAACAATTAAATTCTCACGACGTTTCGACTGCAACACAAGCAATCATCATCAGGTGTGAAACCACAGCAAGAAAACTGCCAAATAGTTCTCCGTGGTGCTAACGTTAAAAAAGCCACTTTTTTAAAAAAAATTCTTGCTGTGGTTTTCACACCTGATGATGATTGCTTGTGTTGCAGTCGAAACGTGAGAATTTTATTGTTTTATATTTTTATTATTTTATTGTTTCCCTTCTACGTGACTTTACCGAAAGAACCAAGAATATTCTGCCTCATTGTTAATTCACTACATGTTTTAATGGGAGGCGTTTTTGTTTGTTTGTTTAATATTATGTACATATTCTATTTTCGTAATTTAAATTCTCGAAGTCGCTGTGATGGACATACACTGTGGAAGAATTACCTATCTGTGCGGATTTGTGAGTCCCGTAGCCTGCTGTGCATGTCTTGTCTCCAGATTCGTCACTTTCCTCGCAAGTGAAATGTATTTCCCTTTAAGTAATTGGCCAGAAATCCCAATGCGGGGAGTCTTGAGAGTGAACAAGTCTTTATTGTATAAATAAACACGAATCTTTAAATAAAACACAGAATAGCTTGAGTTGGCCATGCATCATCACCGCTCCTGCCGTCGGTGGCTGGCTCAGGTTTCTACACCCCTGAGTGTTCGATGTGACCAGATTATGTATTCATACTGGCGGAATCCGATGAGCTATGAAGCTCTTTCACAAATGTCCAGTACGGCGGGTCAGAACGTCACAACAACAAACACGATAGGAGGGCAAATTATAGGAAAGTTAAAGAAATTCTCTTTTAAAACACAAACAAGTAAAACGAAACAGGTAAGGCTCACTGAGCCATTGGCTTTTTTTTTCCAGAAGCGACCTGGCCACAAATTATAGCACACTGAGCCAACACTACTGAGAGTCTGGGTCCGAATCCGGGTCTCGGATGCCTGCGATTGGCTCAGTGCCGATTTAAGGGACACGCTCACTTCAGGCGTTTCACTGCAGGTGTTCCACGCAACTGGCCACAGGTTCTCTAGCATCAACGTTGAGCAAACGTTGAGCCAACGTTAACCAACATTGGTCCGACGGTTTCAACCGCATGTCGTGGTTATCTCGACGCTGGCGTGTGCACTGGCTGGATGGTGTTTAACCTCATTACCAATTACTGTAGAGTATATAAAAAATATATATAATTACATTACACGAGGGGTTTGCCTCTTAATTTGAAGGATTACAGCGAGGAGAATTAAAGAATATCGGTTTTATTGACATGCGACGGACACTCTCTGCTTGGTACATAAAAGGCGTGACCCGAGC